TTTACCAAAAGACTTCATTTTTGATGATGATGATTTATAATTACAAAGTTTACCACAAAGATTTTTCAGAGTATATTTTGCTCTTTACTTGAAAGAAAAAAAAAAAAAAGCCTAAATATGGTTTTGTAGGTTTCCAGAATTACTTTAAAACATTTGTTGTAAAATGGCTTTTTATCTTACTACTTTGAAATATAGTGTCAGAGCAATCTTGTATAAGCGACAAAAAGTTTCTATATGTCTCCTGAATTGTTGAGAACAAATATTTATTTAATGTTATTTTGCAATAGGGACAAAATAAAGCACAAAATCTCAAATAAATTGAGAACATATTCCTTTCTTTTTTCCACTTTTTAAATGTGAAATCTAAAATGAAATTTTAGAAAGTACTACAGTTATTGTATTATAATATATATACACATATATATATTCTGTTCAGATATATAGTCAATATACTATAGATATTAATTACTATATATGGAGTATAAAACGTAGATGAGATTACTAGATCTTTCTTTAAGGAAATAATTTGTAATACTCATTTGTTGACTTCATATACTTTATTGTTTTTCAAATTTCCACTCTATCCACTTATGAATACAAAAGACTCCTTTAATCATTAACCTACAAAATTGGTGAATATCACTGATAAAAAAATCTTTCAAGAACTCTTTGTATGGATTTTGTAGATATTGATCTGATGAAAAATGAATGATGCCTGTTTTTATTAAGTAGTTTTAGTGAATTTTATTAAACGCACTTTCATCAAGATTCAAGGCCATACTCACTGAACATTCTATATATTGTGTTTTTAGAACAAAATAGTGGATGAATAGCAACAATGAAAGCCACATTAAAACATTCATCTATTAGTTTAAATTAAGGTAGGCTCAAGGGGTAAAAATAACTCTCAAATAATTGTTTTAGTTACTCATATTTTGAAATCCCTAAGCTATCTCATGGCTACTATATTTTGAGAAGTCCAATGAGACATATTTGGATATTTTAGTAAAACCAAAAATTAGCAAATCATTGATTAAGTTCATTTTCTTTCATTTTACTCAACTTAAAGGTTTAAATGTGTTCTATTTATTCTATTTTTAAAAAGTGCCAATTAAATATTTAGTTTCATGAAAGAGATAATCATCTTTAATTTCTTAATCTACCCTGTTCTTTTCTTAAAAATGACGTTTTTCTCACGTCTTCTTGCACAAGTTTTCTTTCCATATTCAGTCGAATATTTTATCGATTTATAACTGATGTGTTAAACACTATTGTTTCACTGCCCAGCTATAATGCAACATTTTTCCTCTCTCTTTCACTGTCACTTTAAATTATATTCAGTGGAGTATTCTTTCCATGCCTCTGGAAATGTTCTACCATATTCCATTAATTTTTGGCCAACTTTGCTAATAGACAATCTCATGGTCATTTTTACCTCATAAGTGTTTTAATTCATTTATGTGATTGAAACACACTGTCCACTGTCATGTGATTCACAAAACTTTAAGCATATCTTATGGTTAAATTTCGCCCTCACTGGCAAACAAGGAGCAGGAGGCCAGGCTCTCTTCTCTTTACTCTAACCAGTACCTTCACTGTAGCTGTTGTCCTCTCCCACTCCAGGATCAAAGTTGGCAGAGGGAGCAAAAGTGGAGAGTATTATAGCTCTCATCAGATTTAATGTCACATGGTTTCAGTTACAGCAATGATAGAGTAGCTCCATTACCCCAGGTCTTTCTTTTCACAACTAAAAATACCTGGATGTAGTACAGCAAACAAGCACAAGAGAACTCTGAAAAGTGGAGAGAAGATGGCCTTTCCAGGGATCTCAGTAAATAAGGAATGGCACAATGATGAGTCCTCTGGGTTTCTTATTGTCTCCTATATCCTGGACAGGACACCGTAAAAGCCTTCAACCTAAAACCACAGACAGGAACAGACAAAAACAGGCCCAAGAAAAGCCTGTTTCCCTTAGCCATAGTACCAGGAAAACAGTGAACTAATAGAGTAGAAAACCTTTCAGCAATACACATGCTATTCTAGTCAAATATCAATGTAAAAATGGCAGTTTTCTCTGATTCCCCCAATCTCCATGAAATCAGTGAGGTTGAATATGAGCCGATCTTCCTTCTCCCCACCCTAATTTCATAGAGGCAAGTGGCAATGCTTCAATTCCCTTGCACAGTGGTGTCAATATGCCAAGTAAGAAGTCAGTCTTCCTCCTCCTACATACAGCCGAATCAGGCAGCAGCACTCTGATTCCCTTGCCATGGCAGTGCCAACAGGGCAGGGTGGTGAGCTGATCTTCTATCTCCTGCTTGGCAGAAGCAGGCAGTTCTCCAATTACTCTGCCAAGATAGTGTTAGCAGAGTCTAACACAAGCTATGTCTCCACCCCTTCCTGGCATCAAGTCTGAATATAGTCTTTCAGCATTTGATTTTGCCCTCACTCATAGTGTTAGTGAGGCACAATAGGGAGCTGAACCTCCACTCTAACAGTGAGACTGAGCATGGTGGTACACAGTAGGGCTGGCTTCTCAGCACTCTGGTTTTCTACCCTGTTCCCATGTAGCTTAGACACAGTGGAGAGCTGAGTCTCCACTCCCACGTGGCATCAATGAGGTAGAATGAGATAGTAGGAGGTAAAGCTAGTTGGCACTCTCTTCCCTTCTTTCCCTGCCATGTTATTATCAGGGACCAGCAGAAGCTGAGCTACCACCCCCATCCTGCAGCCACAAAGCAATATGAGTCAGCCTTCCTCTTGCTCTCTCTCTAGAGCAATCAAGAACTAGAGGGAATCTGAGCTTACACTCAACTCAGAGTAAATGAGTCAGAGTGAGTAGGTGACCTCCTTTAAAGGTATCATCATGGATGAGAAAGAATCCAAACTTCCGCTCCAGTCACTTGCAATGAAATGGTATGAGTTAGTGCTCCACTTTAAAAAGAATGATGTAGGCAGAACCTAGCGAGAATGAATCTTGAATTGTATACCATGAAGGAGAACTATTTAAAAAATGTACTTTAAATAGAGTTCTATGACTTTGGATATTATATCTAAAATGACCTGGATACAATAGAAAAAAATCAGTATTAAATGATTAAGTGAGGAGATTTGCAACTTGAATGAGATAAAACAATGAAAAGACACCAAAATCAAGATGAATCAGATGTTGGAATTATTAGACAAGGATTTTGAACCACCAACATAAAAATGTTTCAATAAGAAATTACAAGTTCTCTTAAAATAATGAGAAAACAATAGAAAACTCCAGCAAAGAAATAGAAATTGAAAGAAAGAACCAAATGGAAATTGAGAACTGAAAAATAAAATCATTGCCGTAAAAAACTGACTGGATAGCTGCAATAATACAGTGGAAAAGACAGGGCATAGAATCAGTGAATTGAAGGTTGGCAAGAGAACTTACCCATATAAACAGAAGAAAGAAACTAGATTTAAAAAATAAACAGAGATTCAGGGACTTTGGGATAATAACCAAAGAGTTAAGATTTTGTTACACAAAATATATCCTCTGACCACAATTGAGTGAAATTACAAATAAATAATGAAGAAAATTTGAGAAATTCACAAAATATGCAGAAATTATATAATACTATCATAAATAATAAATGAGTCAAAGAAGAAGTCACAACAGAAATTAGAAAATACTTTGAGATACATAAATATGAAGATACCACATACCAAAATTTATGGGAAGCAGATAAAGCATACTTAGAGAAAAATTTATAGCTGTAATCACCAACATTAAAAAGAAGGAAGATCTCAGATGAGTAACCTAACCTTTCCCCTTGACGTACTGGAAAAGTAAGATCAAAATAAGCACAAAGTATGCAACAAAAAAAAGAAGGAAAGAACAAAGATTGGAATACAAACTAATATAAAGAAAGTAGAAAAAATAGAAGAAATTAACAAAACAAAAAATTAGATCTTTACAAAGATGAACAAAATTGGCAAAGCTTTAGGTAAACATATCAAGAAAAAACATCAGAAAACTCAAATTACTAAAATCAGAAATGAAAGAGAGTCTTTAACATAACTCATACAGAAATTTTAAAAAGTTATAAGGAAATGGTATGGAAAAGTGTATGTCAACAATTTAAACAAGCTCCAAAAAGTAAGGACAATTCTAAGAATGACAAGCAAATGAAATTGATTCAGGAAAAAATAGAAAATCTAAATAGACATATAGAAGACAAGATATTAATTTAGTAGTTAAAAATCTTCACGCAAAAAGTTCTAAATCAAATAATTTTACTACTGAATTTTACCTAATAGTTAAAAAAGAATTAACACCAATTCTTTCCCAACCTTTCCAAACCAGAGAAAGACATCACATGAAAACGGCAACCAAAATCTCTTCTGTATATAGATGTAGCTATGTTCAACAAAATACTTGAGTTGGAAGCAGGACAGTTTATGGCTTGTCTCCAATTGAGGGATGGGGGCAGTGGTTTGTGCCTTCCACCTCTAGAGCAATGGAGGGCACGGCTGAGAGAAAAGGGCCCTTTCTGACATAGGTGCATTCTGACACTCTCTGCACCAGAGCACAATGGTGGTTTGTAAAAAGCCTATTGTCTGCTCCTCCTAAGCATGTGGAAGCACAATCATCTGGGCCTCATCCCCGTTGCTGATGGGGAAGATGTAGGCATTTTGTCTGAGCCGGGTTGGCAAGGTGGAAATGTGGCAGAAGCAGAAGTTCAAAATTCGGTGAGTTAAGCCCTGAAAAGAAACGGCATATCGGTTGCCTTTGTATGAGATGTTGCCAGGACACAGAAAGAGCACTGTTGAAAGCAAGTTCTTTCTCAGCTTCCTAAAGAGATGGAAGGAAGACGGTCTGTGGCTTGTCGCCCCTTGAGGGGTGGAGCACGTGCATTGTGCATTCCACGTCTAGAACAATGGAGGGCACGGCTTAGAGCAAAGGGGTGTTTGTGACATAGGTGCTTTCCGACACTGTCTCCACCAGTGCGAAGTGGTGGTTGGAAAAAGGCGTACAGTCTATCGCCTCGTAAGCAGGTGGACGCACAATCATTTGGGACTCAGCCCAGTTGATTAAGGTGAAGATGTAGGCATTTCGTCTGAGCCGGGTTGTCAAGGTGGAATTGCGGCAGAAGCAGAAGTCCTAAAGTGGCGAGGTAAGGGCTGGGAACAAATGGCGTTTGAGCTGCCCTTGTATGAGAGTTTCCCCGTATGCTGGAATAGCACTGTGGAAAGCGAGTTCTTTCTCAGCTTCCTAAAGAGCTGGAGGCAAGACAGTTTATGGCTTGTCTCACATTGAAGGATGGAGGCAGTGCTTTGTGCCTTCCACCTGCAGAGCAATGGAGGGCACGGCTGGGAGCAAAGGGGGCTTTCTGCCATAGATGCTTTCTGATACCCTTCATGGATGGTGCCAGTGCCTTGTGCCTCCTACCTCTAGAGGAATGGAGGGCACGGCCGAGAATAAAGGGCCCTCCTGACATTGGTGCTTTCTGACACTCCCACAACCGTTGCACAATTCCGGTTGGTTAAAAGCCTATTGTCTGTCTCCTGCTCAGCATGTGGAACCACAATCATCTGGGCCTCGTCCCCATTGCTCCAGGGGAAGATGTAGGCATTTCGTATGAGCCGGTTTGACAAGGTGGAAATGCGGCAGATGCAGATGTTGCAGATTGGCGAGTTAAGGGCTGAAAAGAAACAGCGTTCAGCTGCCTTTGGATGAGATGTTCCCAGGACGCTGTAAGAGCACTGTGGAATGCGTGTGCTTTCCCAGCTTCCTAAAGAGCTGGAAGCAGGACAGTTTATGGCTTGTCTCACATTGAAGGATGGAGGCAGTGCTTTGTGCCTTCCACCTCTAGAGCAATGGAGGGCACGGCTGAGAGCAAAGGGGCCTTTCTGACATAGGTGCATTCTGACAATCTCTGCACCAGTGCACAATGGCGGTTTGTAAAAAGCCTATTGTCTGCTCCTCCTAAGCATGTGGAAGCACAATCATCTGGGCCTCATCCCCGTTGCTGAAGGGGAAGATGTAGGCATTTCGTCTGAGGCGGGGTGGCAAGGTGGAAATGCGGCAGATGCAGATGTTGCAGATTGGAGAGTTAAGGGCTGAAAAGAAACGGCGTTCAGCTGCCTTTGGATGAGATGTTCCCAGGACGCTGTAAGAGCACTGTGGAATGCGAGTGCTTTCCCAGCTTCCTAAAGAGCTGGAAGCAGGACAGTTTATGGCAAACTGAATCAAATAACACAAAAAAGGGATTATACATCATAAACAAGTAGAATTTATCCCAGGAATGTAAGGTTCATTTAACATCCAAAAATCTATTAATATAAAACACCACATCAATGGAATGGAACAAAGGATAAAAAGGAATCAACACACTGGAAAACTATTTGAGCAAATTGAACACATCTTTACAACAAAAAACACTCAACAAACTAGGAATATAAGAGAATCTCTTCAACTTGATAAAGGGAATCTACCAAAAGCTTGCAACTAGTATCATACTTAATAATGAAAGACTAAGTTATTTCACCCTAAAATCAAGAAGCATACAAATATATTCATTATTATCAATTTATTTCAACATTGTGATGGAGATTAAAGTCAGGGCACGTAGAAAAGAAAATGAAATAAAAGATAACCACATGGGAAAGTAAGAAGTAAACCTCTCTATATTCACAGATGACACGATCTGATATGTACAAAATCCTAAGGAGTCTGCTGAAAGCTATCTATTTAAACTAAAAAATATAGAATTCAGAAAGGCATTAGAATACATAATCTTTTTTTATAAAATCATTTGTACTTCTATACCAGCAATTAAAAATCAAAGAAATTAATTTAGAAAACAATTTCATCAAAAACATCAAAAACAATAAAATTCCTGAGAGTAAACTTAACAATAGAAGGCCAATGGGTTGGCCCTGTGGCCAAGTGGTTAAGTTCGTGCACTCAGCGTTAGCAGCACAGGGTTTTGCCATTTTGGATCCTGTGCATGGACATGGCACCATTCATCAGATCATGCTGAGGTGACATCCCACATAGCACAACCAGAGGCACTCACAACTAGAATCTACAAGTATGTACTGGGGGCTTTTGGGGAGAAGAACAGGAAAAAAGAAGATTGGCAACAGTTATTAGCACAGGTGCCAATCTTTAAAAACAAAAGAAGTCCAAGACTTTACACTGAAAACTAGAAAACATTGCTGAAAGAACTAAAGAAAACATAAACAAATTGGAAGATATTAATTTAAGATGAAAATGCTCATCTAAACGATCTAAACATTCAATATAACACCTATCAAAGTTTCAGCAGCCTTTTCTTTTTACATAAATTGACAATCTGCTCCTACAATTCACATGGAAATGCAAGGGATTTGGAAGAGTCAAAAGAGTTTTGAAAAAGAAAAACAAAGTTGCAGGACACATACTTCCTGACTTTAAAACTTACTACAAATCTACATAATTAAAACTTCATGATACAGGTATAAATTTTGGACATACAGGTCAGTGGAATAGATCTGAGTCCAGAAATTAACTCATACGTATGGTCAACAAATTTTTAACAAGTGTACCAAGACCATTCAATGGAGAAAGAATATCATTTTTGTCAATTGTTACTGGGAGAACTGGATAGCCACATGCATAAAATGAGGTTGGACCCCATCTTACATCATAAACAAAAATTAACTTAAAATAGATAAAAAGTCCATACGTAAAAGTTAAAAATAGAAAACACTTAGAAGAAGATGTAGGTATAAATCTTTATGTTCTTGGGATAAGCAATGGTTTCTTAGATATGACATCAAAAACACAGCAGCAAAGTAAAAAAAAAAAAGATTGGACTTCATCAAAATTAAAAATGTTTATTCTCCAAAGATAAATCTCAAGAAAGTAAATAGACCACCCACAGAATGGGAGAAATATTTTCAAATCATACGTCTGATAAAAGTTTAGTATCCAGACTATGTAAAGAACTATTGCAACTTAACATTAAAAGAGAGATAATCTCATTTTTAAAATGGAAAAATGCTACATTTCTCCAAAGAAGATACAGTGTAAAATTACCAAAAGAAACGTCAACTAAATTGAAATTGGGAAGGCCTGCAGGGAATGCTTTCATGCTGTATCATACATCAGTTACTCAAACAGGAAGGTATGCTTAGATCTACAATAGGAATGTGTTTTCTACCTTACTACCCAGCAGAAGGAAGGAAGATTTCTTTCCCCAACTGGTAACAGCCCAGCCAATGGGAGACTGTAGAAACCCAACTGATAAAAAGCATCTATACTTTAGACTCCCAGTTTCCTCACATGAACATTTTTTGTTATGACCCATCCTATTCCCCATTTTCCTCTATAAATGCAAGCTCCTCCCATTTTTTATCTGGATTTGGCTATGGTCTGCTATAATCTTCATTTCCCAAATTGCAATTCTGTTGGTTGTTACTGAATAAATTCTTTTTGCAGATAAAACAACTGGCCAATCTACTTTTTTTCTTTTTTTGTGGGGTCAAGATTAGTTTGGAGGTAACACCTGCTGCCAATCCTCTTCTTTTTTGCTGAGGAATACTGACCCTGAGCTAACATCTATGCCCAGCTTCCTCTACTTAATATGTGGGACACCTGCCACAGCATGGCTTGATAAGTGGTGCAGCCAGGATCCAAACTGGTGAAACCTGGGCTGCCAGAGCAGAAAGTGTGAACTTAACCACTGTACCACTAGCCCAGCACCTGGCCAATCTACTTTTTAAGCTCATGTATTTGGTGTCGGAAATGGTACCCGAGGGCAGCAATTTCTAGGCGACAGTGACTACCTGAATTGAGTGAGGTACCCACACTGAGCCGTTAGCACTTATTGTTCCCATGAGTTGCTGCCTACTTTCAGTTTGGTAGGTCTCCTCTCGGATTCCAAGTTCCTCTACCTTTCCCTTTTGAGCTCTCCAACTTTATTCAGGGCCAAGAAAGACCTTGTTTTTTCCAAAGAGGGACTTTGTCATTTCCAGTTCAAGGCTTTGTCATTAGATTTAAGGCTTTCTACTTTGTGAGTACTCATTTTATGAAGCTCTTGGCAGCAAGTTTCCTTTGTGGACTGGGCTACCTTGGAATCCAGGAATCTTTTTTCATTTTGCAATTCCATCTGGAATCAGGGCTAGAACTCTTGAAACTTTTCTGGGTTTTCAGAAGAATTTAAGAAATGAGATCCCTGTCATCTACATGTTCTAAGAGTAACACTCCTTCAAGGACCTTGGACAGGTTTATGTTTAGGAACTATGGGTCCCGACATGTGCATTTTTAACTAAGTGAGTCAAATAGGCCAAGAGTATTCCAGACTTAAAATGAACTTTTGATCTACCAAAATTTACTTTCCTTAAAAACAAATTGAAAGACCATGGCAGTCAAATAAACCAAACTCTATGATATGCCTATTTTAATTGATACCTGAAGGCTTCCAAATGTATCCAACACTACAAAATCACATCTTTGCAAAGTTCTATTTCTAAATTAACCAAGGTAAACAAACAATTGAAAGAAACCAAAATGGCTTCTGAAGTATCTTTTTTCCCTCCCCCATCTTCTTTGTCTCTGGATGTGTGGTGGTCATCTTGTGATCAGACTCTGCCCTTAATGCCATCTTATTTGTCTCCCCCTGCTTCTTTGTCTTAGGCTCCAGCCAATGTTATTTTCTGCTTTCTCTTCTGCACCTCCCCTCCTTATTCACTGCTCAGGCTGAGATTTCTTAGAAAAATATCATGCTGGCATTTTCTTTATCTGAAAAGGGGAAAATGATTCTAGAATTTGGCAGCATGTAAATAACAGTAAATAAAATTCATTGGTAAAACAAAAAACTCTTTGGTCCTCTGAGCAGGTAACCTTAATGTTTCTGCTGGAAACACAACTTGGATCCAACTAACCTTTTGAGTTTTGTACCTGACACATGGTCAAAATTTTTAAAACAAAAGCTATAGGATCTCTGTTTAGTCTGTCTATGTGTCTATGGATGTAAGATATATGTAATGTGATATTATTTTTTTCTCAGGATGGTATTACCAAAATTAATTTATGAAAGAGCTCTATTTAATTAGCTTGAAATTAAGTGCTGATAAATTAAGCATTCCTAAATCCAGAAATATAATAGAAACTAATCCAACTACTTTT